ATCATTATAATTCGCTTCCAATAGTGAAGAAAGTGACACAGAGGTTATTGAAAACGAAAAAATTTCGATTGACAAATTAGTCGGTATTCTCGATACAGCAATTATAGGACTTGAACAGCGGAACTTTGAAACTAAACAAGAAATTATGTCTGTTTAATAGAATTAAAGAGAAAGTATTATCACATGAAAGGAAGCAACTTAAACAACTTACATTGAAAGAAATGTTTAATAAAGTAAACAATTAAATATTAAGCTTTTTCTTTTTGTAAATTTTGATACCCTTTAGATCATAATTGTTCTTTATTTCATAAATTACGGTTTCATATTTTTAATTTTATAATTTCTGCATGCCATCTTACCAGATTTAAACTGATGATCTATAATCCGGAAAAATCGATAATCTGGAATCGCTGAAGTCCCGACAAGTCCGGATTAACGACTTTTGACTGTATATATCACATAACAAGTAGCTGTAGAAATTTGAAATTTTGTATATGGCTCTTGTTGAAACATTTAGTTGTGCACCTCCCTTTTTTGTTGCAATCGGCTGCACCAATCATATATAAATACATATATATATTATATACATTCCCACTCTGTTACCTGGCTCGGTGAACTTAGTTTTTTATTGTTATATGTTGTACATTTTTTCCTTTAAATGTGATTGAATTAGTGGGTTTTATGTTCCGGTTAAAGTTTTTTTTATATCTTTATTTAATCTGCATGCAATAGCTGTAGAATTATCAACATTTGTTTACATTTGAAATTCGAATAGTGAATTAAGTCAGTTTCTGCACCTTCAATGTCTATTTGCCAAGTGGGAACAAATGTAAACTTTTAGTTTCATGCATTGAAAAATCTGGCATCTTGCCCACTGGCCAAATTGCTTGTTTTTACATAGCAACTAATTTTGAGAAATTGCTTTTTTAACTGTTTTAACTGTATTTGGTGTTTTATGTTTTCTGTATTTTACAATTTTTAATGAAGATGTTTTGAGTATTTTTCCTTTGCTGCAAAGTGGGAACTGTATTAATTGAATGAGAAATATACTTTAATAAAATATGAGGAAATAAGTTTCAATGAAATGCAGCAAAAAATGTGTTTAATTTAATAGGCATGGAATACAAGGAAGTCATGTAGTGTCCATATCATCGTTAGTCAGTAAATATTATCAACATAGGAAAAGAAAATTTTAGCAGTTTATATATAAATTTGAATTATTAAATCAGGATTACATGATAAAAATCTTTGTGAAATTTTTTCTGTGCTATATTTCTCCCGAAGTACACAGCGATCTGCTTTTGCTTTTAAAAAAGTCACAGAATTGTGGAGGCTTGGCATAGTGTAATTTTTGGCAAGAATGGCTGTGTAAAGGAGTGCATTTAGTTGTTCTCTTTTTAAAATTTTCAGCAAAATTCTGTATTCCTGCAGAAGTTTTACTGCACCATTGCTGGCAAATTCCACAAGCTCCTGTATCGGAAATTCTAAAGATATGCTCTTTTTAGTTTATTTTGTGTTATTGCTGTTGAATTGAATTTTATGGTTTGTGGGGAGAACATGATATTTAATAAATAAAGATAACACTCAAAGCATTGAAAAACGCTCTTTTGGGCGATTTTCAATGCTTTGAGTGTTATCTTTCAGTATTATCGAAAACAAATGCATTTTACTTTTTGATCTTAATGCAAAACAGAAAAATAATGTAAAAAATTCTATATTACAATTAAAGAGTACCACCGTTGTCCTAAGGAAGGAATGCGAAAATCTGGTTCATTACATAAATTTAGATTCATGGCCTAAAATTTTAAAATGATATTTATTCATTTTTTAATTCTATAGTGTAAAACATCGATTTTTGCAAAATTCTTACAGCTGCTTTTTTTTTTTTTTTTTTTTTTTTTTTTTTTTCCAGTTTTAAAGCTTCTGTTCCTTTTTAAGAAAAAAGTAAACATCTAAAAATGACACAAAATGTAGGCACATACTCATTGCTCTCTTCCTCTGTTTAATAACAAAGGCGGTATAAATTCTTAAAGTGCAACATAACTATAAGGAAACACCTAGAGCTTATATGTACTTTATGCTATATGATTCTGTTTAATTTTCAACAACACATTTTATTCCATATTATTAAAGTATTAACGACGTTATAATTAGAACTTTATATTGTTTCACTCTGTTATTTCTTTATTAAGTTAAATGCTTATTAAGTGAAAATCTCTTTCTTATTAAGTTAAATATTATTTGTTATCTTCGGGTGAAGATGAAACCATGCAATGTCCAAAATAACCTTCGGGTGATAAAACCGCTACTTTATACAACTTCCAAAATAATCTTAGGGTGAGGACTTTGCTGGTGGGAGTACTACCTAAAACCTGGAAAAGAATATGAGTTGATGTCCTGGAGTCGTAAACTAAACATGTCTTTTTTCTCAACTGGATAAATCATTCGAGCCGCGTGTTGGGTAGCCAATTATAATTTAAACTACCATAAACAAAAGACTCATTTGGCTTTTTTAAATAGTTTTAATTGACAAAACACAATTAAGATAAAACATTACAATTATGGGCATTATAATTACACATTTAAGTTACAAAGTAAATCTCGGGGAAACAGCATGCTTAGTTCATAACTCCCGTACATCGACTGAAGGGTACTATCTGTTTTTTTTTGGCTGGTGTTTATTCCGGCGACCGCTAGTTGGCGTTCGTTGAGCTGTGAACACTGGTAATTCGGTTCAAGGTTCGAGAAAAAGTTCGGTTCAAGAAAAAGATTCTTTGGCATTAATGCACATTCATTATACCAAAGAAATAACAACTGACAAAATTTTTGATATATTTGCCAGTTTACTGCCACGAAAAATGGAATTCAGGAATATTTTAATTCCCGAACCCTAATGAAAGGCCAGCAAAATGTTTGCCAAAAAAAAAAAACTATTATTTGCAGTTTAAGTTCATGTCCAAAATAAATTAGATATTTTCAATCTTTATGTATTTAATTCAATATCTTTATTATATAATCATATACAACAGAAATATGGATTTTATATATTTATTTTTCTTTATAGTTGTATTGTGAAACCAAAGAAAGATGAATTTCAAAATTATGTTAATATTGTAATAATAATTTTTAATTAATTTAAAAACAAAAATATTGAATTATGCATTTAGTATGTTTGTAAGGTAATAATTATAAATACAATAATGAAATGCAATATAACCATAATTATGCTACATAATTTTATTATAAAATCTCCTATATACTTGAAGATGCTGTAATAGGTAGAACTGTATAGCCATAGGACCATATAATAGGTAGAACAGTATAGTAACTGGCACCCCCTTGTAATTTGAGCTGGCTATGCTTATGATACTGAATGGATATATGAGTGTGATTCAGTATAGAAAAATAGCCTAAGCAGAGGAAAGAGAGGTGAAATGTAAATAAACATGACAGCCTTCTAAATAACTTCCTTTTCAAACCTGTAGCAAATAAAGTACTGCAGCGAAAATCTTCTCTATTTCAAATTTATTATGAAATCATTAAAGAGTATCTAAAAGTTGTACAGAAAGCTATTTTTTTTTTAAATTATGTAATTTTTTTTGGCAAAAATTATTTTTTATTTTGCGAATATGATCAATATTTTCTAGATAATTATTCAAAAACAATTTTTATATCTTGTTTTTTAATTTGGTTGCTAAAACTAGCGCTTTAGATAAGCATGTTAGGATAATTTATGCTCAGGCAAAGATACCATTTTACTGCTGTAGATGCGCGGTGAGACAAGCAGTATCCCACCACATCCTGAATTACCTTAAAGGTGTACCTGTTTTTTTTTGCATGAAATAACATTGTATTAGGGGCTAATTATCTATGTGTAAAGTTATTTTTTCAAAAAAAAATTTTTTCATCCATTGAACCTCAAAGGGTTATTGAAAAGTGAAAATGGAAGAGAATTTGCTCACTTCTCTGAAACCTAGCAGAAGAGGAAAATTTAATTAAATGTGTATTTCTCTGTGTTCATGCAATTGGTATATATCAGGGGTGGCCAAGCTCCTTGACAGTCCGAGCTATTTTTCGTGATCCACAATTAAATACATATTTAAAAGGTATGCAAAAAAGGTATTCAAAATTTTATTTATTGAATTATATTTTAATTATATTTATTGAAAACATAAATAAAAGTACAAAATATGTGTATTGAATTGAAATATTAAAAGTTAAACACATTTACTTTACTTCTCTTGATAATTCTTTAAAATTTGGTGAAAAACTGGTGACAGCACTTCTAAGAAATTCTTTGAAATGCTGGTTAGTTAATACTGATCGGTGTTTGGATTTCACGAATTTTAAAGTGGAATAAAATGATTCACATAAGTACGTTGTTCCGAATATTGAAATAATTCGACAAGCAGCCTTTTTTAATTCAGGATACTTTGATTCTGGTATAAATTTCTAAAATTCAGTAATCGGCGTCGATTTATATTTTAATTGTAGAGCTTGATCTTCTTGCATCTCTAATTCTCCAGATGCTTTTTGGGTCATAAATAAATTGGGAATCTAAAACTCACTTTTGTATTATATTAATTACAAATGGATTCAGAAAAAATCAAGAGACGATGGACGGAAATGAAATTTGTTACAATATTGCACTTAGTTTTTCATATTTGTTGTCTGTAATTTAAGTAAAAGACATTTTGAAACACATACAGAACAATAATAATTTTTAAAAAATATAATAACACTAAAATGAAAAGGGAACTGGGGTACATTTATCAAGAGTCACAAATAATCCTTCAAAGAACCGCATGTGGCTCGCGAGCTACAGGTTGGCCACCTCTGGTATATATTGACACAAGCAGAAGATTTAAATGAAACTTACTACAGTACTGCCATTGAAAGAAAGCTGGCGTTCTGTTGAAAATATTTGTATTTTAAATTTTCACAGTTTTACTATATATGTATATCTTTTGAAAATTTTGAGACATCTTAACTGCATATAGGTGATAACCTTGTCAGATCTTGAATGTGATTACCTAAATGCTCAACAGTGCTGTTCAAAGCTTAATAAAGTAAGACTTTTTTTTTTTAAACTGATAAAATGTTATTTTCATTATGAAAATATCTTGTGTTACAAATATGAAATTATTATATTTATTTCAGTGTAATCTTACATTATTTGCAAGTAAAAGAATATGAACAGGATACATTTGTAGATAACATTTACTATCTAGCTTGAATGAAAAACAGAGCTTCATATTTTTATACTTCAGACAAGTAATATAAATTATGAAATTTAATTCTAAAATTAACAGCTGATAGTTCTTACAGTGATCAGGTAAGCGTTTATATTGAAATTCTGGGTTATGCAATTTTTAGTACTGATTGCTAGTTGAAATGTCTTATTTTTAGCTAACTACCTCCTGACAAATTTCAGCAAGAAATGGATATTAAAACTGTGTGAATTAATTTTCATTTATTTAATTTTAATAATGTCTTGTTAAAAAATTTTTGTTTTAAATTTTCTAACAGCAAAGTTCCACTCTTAGCTAAAGGCTGTAGACATCTCAATGTAATGATATATTAAATTTTTTTTTTTTTTTTTCTGTTAAACATTTAATATTTTTTGCTTTCAAAATTATTATAAATTGCCTATGGTTATAATTTACTTTAATTCATTTATCTATTTATCTCTCTATATATATTATGTACATTAATTATGTTGATTTAATGAGGAATGGATCTTTAGCATATTATACCAGGTCCATATTAGAAAGATTGGTAAAATTTCACAAAGTAAGACTGCATTTTAATGATTGTTTAGCTAATTCTCCAGTAGTTTGATGCACGTCTTCGTTCAGAAGTTGATTGAAACGTTCATCAAACTCATTTGGTTGCCCGGAACGAGCAGCGTCTTCTAGGTCGAAATTTCCATTTTTGAATTTGGCAAGCCAATGTCTTGCAGTTCATTCAGGCATTTTACTTTCTCCATACACTTCACAGATCTTTCAGGCTGCTTCTGCAGCATTGGCGCCTTGATTAAATGCAAAAAGAAGAAGGTGTTGAAAATGTTTATTTTTGTCGATTTTACACTGCATTTTAATGATCTGAAAAATAACAAAAATTAGCTCAGACAAAAAAATTAAATACACCATCTTGTAGAGGGAAAGATTCTTTTTCCAATAACACAAAACATTATGCCAATGCATTTTACTTTTACCGTGTAATTTTAAACACAACATAAACGGCCATTACTTATGTTTCAACCCTATAGCTGCATTTAGTATTATACCGTAATCTATGAATCACTGGAACACCGTCCTAAGATGTTGCATATGCTGCATGTCATTTTTAGATGCTACCAATACATTATCAAAGTATGGTACACAAAAATCCATTCCATTGAGGACTTGATAAATAAGTTTCTGGACTGTAGTCGCAGCATTAGGTAACCCAAAAGTCATAAACAAATACTCTAAGGTCTGCGAATGGTGTAGAAATGGCTTTTTTGGTCATGTTTTCTTCCACAGTAATTTGATGGTAAGCCTTTTCCAAATCAAGGGTTGAAAATATCTGCTTTCTAACAGGTACAGACAATCTTGGGGGGGGGGAGAACAGGATATCAATCTGGAATCATGACTAGTCTGGTTTTGTGTTATCCCCACATGGTCGCCACTCTCCATTCTTCTTGAGGCTGAGTTTTACAGGTATCAGGCAGCTCAGCTAAATAGCATTTTGTGCCAAACGCACCAAACCCAATGCTTCCCGGCTCCTTTTGTTTGGGTCGCTCATTTTGTTTATAAAGTCTAAAAGCCCCTTTTCAAAGTCGGTTACCTGTTCGTGCAATAAACGATTTTCAGGATGTCCCTCAATGACTATAGCCATCTTGACCACTGTAAGAGCCTTCCTGAAGGCATTATAACCTTCAGGTCTGTCTCTTTTGGCAGTCTTCGGGGCTGTCTGCTCCATCCTATGAGATTGTCTTTCTTAGCTTAGAGAGGTGCAGGACATTTGACCAGCAGTTGGTGAAATTTAGTATCTGTGCCCAGTACCTTTATTTGAGTTGTATCTTTTGCATGCAGAGTTCTTTAGGAATGTAGTTGGCTGTGTGTACCAAACATCCTTGAAGGATGTCAACCAGTAATACAAAGAAAGTGACGAAAGAAGTCAACCGCAATAATAGGTTGGGAGACTGTAAAGAGGACAAATGGACAATGAAATGTACTGCATAATGACAAGTTTAGTTAAGTGAGTCTGATCAAAAGTAGGTATTGCAGTTACATTTGTGGCAAAAAGTTGATGCTTGGTAGGTGGTCAATTGCACTCCATAGCCGTGGGCAGAACTACCAAGACATCTGCTCCTGTGGGTTTATCTGAGATGTACAAATGATAAATCTCAGTCTTGGCAGCACACCACCTGAAGTACAAAATTTTGTGCACTTGGTAGCTTTCTTTTTGAAATGATGATGGTACCAGCAATGTTTTGTATTACCTTGTCATTGGCAACTTGATGAACGTTTTTTCGTCCTGCTGCTCTCTTGCATTTGAACATGATCTGGAACATGTTTCAGTCCGAGAAAAGATGGGATGAAATAGCCATCAATGATTCTTTTAACACAGCTTTCTCCGTTTTTGCTTTTCTGGCAACTGTCATCTCCCATCTCAGGAAGCTTGTCTCACTTGTTATTGGAAATGGCTAGAATTTGTTGGAAATGCATTGGCAGTTGCTGCCAGAAAGGCAATTTAAGAAGATCCTCAACCATACTTAAGACAACCTTGCTGCAAATCTCCAGTTAGAAGTGTGATGGTTTTTATTGCCAGGCTGCATCCTGGAAGTGAGGTTTGTGAGTCATTGTTCACCCATGTCAGCAAATTGCCATATACAGAGACAGTTCCTGATCACTGTATATGGAACTTTGGCTGAAGGTTTAAGAATAGTGTCTCCCTCTACCACTAACTCCTCAGGTTGTAAAGCTGAAGCTATGTAATGTTTGTTTTGGTTTAATGTATGTTCGATTAACTCTCGATAAGATGGTTTAATTTTTTTCGAAGAAGGATATAAGTTCAATTTTTCCTTGCATTTTGAAAAAATTAATTATGTTTGGGACTGTGTGGAGTTTTTTCAAAATTACAGGATCCGGTCTTCAAAACAAAAAAAAAAAAAAAAAAAAAAACTACGATGCGCAACTAAATGGATATGACAGTGATGATGTAGTGTGAAAAATTATGATAAGTGATTTTAAGTTTTTTGTATGCGATATCCGTAATTTTTATCTTTCTATTATCTAACTAAATAAAGAATAATATGTTTGTTTAAAACTCCTGCCAGAATGATTGGCAACATCTCCACCAACTTTCATGTTTGGGGATATTTTATAATCAGATCAGGCCTACAAAAGATGCCAGCTTTTATACAACTGATATGTATTCTTTTTTTCGCTTCCAAAATATTTTAAATGTAGGTTTTCGATATTCAAAATAATAGCAAATAAGATTATTATTTTTATAGTTTTAAAACAGAAATTTTTCATGTTAATTTGGCTTTTCTGTGAATTCTGTTTTTTATATGCTCAACTGTCTGGAGGAATTTTCACATATCCAGAATTCGGCATTTCCAAAGCTTTCAGGATAGTCGAGCTTTTACTGCACTTAGAACCACTAGATAATATGAAGTAGAAGAAAGCCTGCTTGCTCCAAAGCACTTGCTTTCCCATAAGGCCAGGGAGGAGCACCAAAAACTAAACACTCTCGATGGCTGCCCAAATTTTCTAGAATTGTCATGTCTTACAGTTTCAGCAAGTATTTTTTCCACAGATATCCCACTCAAACCTTACAGCCTTAAAAAAGGTGAGAGCAAATGCTTAAACCCAGGAAGGCAAATATATTTGTATGTTCCGTTGTTTAAAAATAGTGGACTGTAAATTAACTTGATATTACTTCAGTATAGAACTCAAAAAACCTCAGACTCCTAACGTTGACCGAAACTTCTTTATTGACTTTCAAATAGTAAGTTAGTTGAGGAACGGCGAAGACCACATAAACTCCGACTTCAGTGGCGGCTTACCAACACAAACTCAGAAGAACCTCCGCTTAGTTGAAACTCCAGTAATTCACAGCAACCTCAAAGCTCTAAACGCGAGCTTTAAAAACCTAACAAATTTGCCTCTGCGCCGCTCCTCGGTACAAAGAAAGAAATTCAATTTGCATAACATCGAACATACCCCCAGCCTTGAAGTCCCAAGGGGGTTCAAACAATAAATTAAACTGTTGAACTGCATAAACCTGAAAAAAAAATATTAAAGTCTCTAAATCAAGAATTAAATGGCAAAGCGCATAGCTTTGCTATAGGTCGTTTTATTTCACCATTAGACGTGCGTAAACTCACCACTCGAACTTTCTCATCCAGACCAGGATACACTTTAATAATTCTACCTAATTTCCAACGTAGCGGAGGTAGATTTTCGTTCTTAATAAGAACCATATCACCAATCTTCAGGTCTTGTTGTACCTTGCACCACTTAGGTCTCTGCTGCAATCTAGATAAATACTCACTGCTCCAACGATTCCAGAAATGTTGAAATAACCTTTGCACGTTCCTCCAACGGTCACTGCAGCTCATGGTTTCTTGAATTTGGTTAGATTCTGGAATAGCGCTTAAAGCCGCTCCGGTTAAAAAGTGTCCTGGTGTTATCGCCTCCAAGTCGCTACAATCACTTGAAGCTGGTACCAAAGGCCTAGAATTAAGACAGGATTCAATTTGGGTTATTAATGTCAAAAATTCCTCGTATGTTAAAATAAGTGTTCCTAAACATCTTTTTAAGTGATGTTTCATAGACTTGATATCCACTTCCCAAAGCCCTCCAAAATGAGGGGCAGAGGGAGGATTAAACAACCATTTAATATTTTCTGAAGAAATATAACCCTGTAGCTGTTCATCACGTTGAACAATAGAAAAGGCTTTCCTTAATTCTTTATTAGCTCCTATAAAATTCTTTGCACAATCACTGTGAATTTCACACGGTTTGCCTCTACGAGCTATAAACCGCTTAAGTGTCACGAGAAATGATTTTGT